GGGAATGGCGGGAATTCCCTGGGAATGGCGGGAATTCCCTGGGAATGGCGGGAATTCTGTGGGAATGGCGGGAATTCTGTGGGAACGGCAGGAATTTCATGGGAATGGCGGGAATTCCCTGGGAATGGCGGGAATTCTGTGGGAACGGCGGGAATTCCATGGGAATGGCGGGAATTCCGTGGGAATGGCGCTGACCGTTTTTTTCCCAAGGATCTGAAGCAGCAGATGTCGGATCTGCTCCCGTTAATCCCAGTCCTGGACCAGTTCCGCTCGGATTCCTGGCTCTGATCCCATTTCTGATGATTTTAACCCCATTTCTGATGATTTTAACCCCATTTTTTGGGTGTTTTTTTGGTGTTTTCCCAGGATTTAAAGCAGCAGATGTCGGATCTGCTCCCGTTGCTCCCAGTCCTGGACCAGTTCCGCTCGGATTCCCGACTCTGATCCCAGTTTTGGGTCATTTTTCCCCATTTTTGGGTCATTTTGACTGATTTTGACCCCGTTTTTTGGTGTTTTCCCAGGATCTGAAGCAGCAGATGTCGGATCTGCTCCCATTAATCCCAGTCCTGGACCAGTTCCGCTCGGATTCCCGGCTCTAACCCCATTTCTGATGATTTTAACCCCATTTCTGATGATTTTAACCCCGTTTTTTGCCATTTTTTGGTGTTTTCCCAGGATCTGAAGCAGCAGATGTCGGATCTGCTCCCGTTAATCCCGGTCCTGGACCAGTTCCGCTCGGCTTCCCGGCTCTGATCCCATTTCTGATGATTTTAACCCCATTTCTGATGATTTTAACCCCGTTTTGGGTCATTTTAACCCCGTTTTTTGGGTGTTTTCCCAGGATCTGAAGCAGCAGATGTCGGATCTGCTCCCGTTAATCCCAGTCCTGGACCAGTTCCGCTCGGATTCGCGTCTGATCCCATTTCTGATGATTTTGACCCCATTTCTGATGATTTTAACCCCATTTCTGATGATTTTAACCCCGTTTTTTGCCGTTTTTGGGTGTTTTCCCAGGATCTGAAGCAGCAGATGTCGGACCTGCTCCCGTTGCTCCCAGTCCTGGACCAGTTCCGCTCGGACTCGCGGCTGATCGCGGCGCTGAGGGCCGAGGTGGCCGAGGTGTCGCTGGCCCTGCTGGCCCTGCAGGAGGAGTTGGGAGCCTTCGACTACGACGAGCTCCAGCAGCGGCTCCTGCTGCTCCAGGCCCAGCTCCACGCCTGCCTCCACAAGCTGGGTATGGAATTGGGCATGGAAAAATGGGAATAACACTGGGAATGGGACTGGGAAAATGGGAATGGAGCCCTTGGGAATCGGGGAATGGATCCCTTGGGAATCTGGGAATGGATCCCTTGGGAATCTGGGAATGGATCCCTTGGGATGGGTCAGATATCCCGGCTCCACGCCTGCCTCCACAAGCTGGGTATGGAAAAAAACTGGAAAAATGGGAATAACACTGGGAATGGGGCTGGAAAAACCGGGAAT